GTCGCGGAGAACCTAACGGGTAACCGGGGCTCCGGCTCGACGTGCAGGAGAAGGAACGGGGTGGTTTTTAGTCAGTAAGAGTCTGACACTCCCTTCCGCCTTACCCAGGCGGGAGCAGTCATTCGATGGAAAAAAATGCAAATAAGAGGTTAAGTACCGTAATGTACACCTCTGCTTATGCCTCCGGTGATAAAAGACGTTATGTTATGTTAATACAATAACATGAGTATCTATGGGTTATTTTGCTGCAGGGAGACGGGTCACCTGATGGTAAACAACCGACGTCGCCGGCGGCGTCGTGGAGTCAAACGCCGGCCCATTACAAATGAGAGAATCCCATCAGGTGATACGTCTGAACTCAGAAATATATTTTTTTTATTGCATTAGCCGGTAAACGAGCTGATGGATCACCTGATGGTAAGCAATCGGCGTCGCCCATGGACACCTGGAACACCAGAGGCGTTACAAGTTCGTTACCGGCCTTTTGGGGATTAGGAGTTGGAGGATCGTTGGGGATTCAGGGGTTGGGGAGATTGGGAAAGGGGAGGGTAATTGGGCCTCCGGTAACCTCACTCATACGACGAAACACAACGCAAGCGTTACTTCACGTCGGTTTTCTGTGAGGCTGTGGTATCACTCCGGTCGAGCCGGCTCTCCCACACTTAATTTTAATATTACAAATAGACACTTTCATTTTATTTATCTGTATGTATAGATGTTATAGGTTTAAATCTAACAACCTCTACCCACCGCCTCAATGTGCACCAGTCGTGATGTTACGCTAGCTCAGTAAAATCGAGTAATGCGTTTAATATGATCAGGTCTCCAATAAATGCCATCTGCTCGGAGATTGGAATTCTATCTATTTTCATCAAGAAATTCCATTTCGCACCTCACCGGTACATTGCGTAGATATTCCGCAGAAGGCTTAGTTGATTTTGTTGGCAAACGAATAACTGGAGCACTTGATGATCAGCAAACAGCGCTGACAATGAACACCACAGAAGTTACAAGTATAAACGTTAAGGGATAATAAAAACAATTAGTATCAGCCAATACTTTTATTATAGATTTTCACAAAGTCAAAGTCAAAATCAAAGCATTTATTTCAATTAAACCATAGTTTGGTACTTTTGAAACGTCAACAAATACAAAATAAATAATAGTCTGTCAGTCAGTTCGTCAGTGAAATTAGGTGAAGCTATACTCGGAATTTTAATTCGATTCCAGATTTGACAATTTCAGTGTTGCAACGTTATGACAAGTACTAAATAGTGACGTTGCGAAATTATTCGATATGGAAATGCAATATTTCTGGATCGATTCTTCGCGTTTATAATTTTACTCTCGTAAACTAAGTATATCAGGAAATTAAATATTTCTAAACCGATAATTTAGTTTTGACGATTAATAAACGATCTGAGACTTTTCTTTTATAATTGTGTGTGAAATAAATAAAAAAATGTCATCATGAAGGAACATGAGAAATAAAACAGATAGATGTATTATGGTAATAAGTTATTTTATAAATTGTCGCCGTCATCGCTATCGCTAT